CTCCCAAGGCAGCGCCTTCAAGAAGGAAACGACGCAGAGCACCGCCGCCGCCCACCGCTGTTAGGATTTTCACCTGGGAGGCTCTGGGCAAGGAAGAGGTGGAGCAGACTTGGCCAACGTCTCCATGAAGAACTACGACACCCTCGGGCGTCATCGTCGTCACGGCCGGCCGAAGCCGACCAGGGATTTCTCCCAGTCTGGATTCCCACCACCAGCTCCCACCGCAACCCGGACGAAGGTCGACTAGCACGCCAGCGAGACCGATGTGCCAGGTGTCTTTCAGTTATTCGCTGTCGTTGCCATGTCATTTGCTTGCGTGTTGCATCTTGCCATGTCATCATCTGCATTGCATCGTCATGTTTTCAAAACTTGCATCCGTCCGAGTTCTCCTCGTTCCGTCCGTTGTCCGTTCTGAGCCCAGACACACTTGCACGCGCCAGCGGCATGTCCGAAATATTATTTTATAAGTGGCCGGAAAATGTTCTCGGAATGGGTTGAAAGTTGGCATGTGGTGTTGTTATGTTGTTAGTAGGTCGCCTGCCAAGTTTCATCGCATTCGGAGCTCGTTTGATAGCCCAGCCGTTAAACTATAGCGGCAATATAGCCGGTCTAACGTCGGACGTTTTCGGTCTCCGAAAACTGTTGCTGGGTCTCTCTCTCTCTCTCTTCTCTCCCGCAGCCCTCGGCCTTCTACACAGTCACAATCATCCCACCTAGGCCCACCTATCCCCCCTCCCGATCGGATCCATCGGTCGCGATCAGAGGCTCCGAAACCCATCCTAACCCGCCCTTGCCTCCGTGGCCTTTTGTCGGAATCCCTCTTTGCACAGTGCATCGAAACCCTTCGCAACCATGTCCGAAACTTCCCCGAACCCGAATCCGCACGGTCATGACCAGTGGGTCCGGAACAATCCCGAGTTATCCTAAACATCATCTGTTCTTTGTTTAGACCACCCGAAGCCGTTCGATCAAAATCTAGAGGCTCTAATCCCCTCTCTTTTTAGCCACCTACTATATATAGTGGGCAACCCCTAACAAAATCAGACCAAAACCCTAAATTTTAGGGAGATGTCCCATCCATCCTTCTCTGTCGCCGCCACCCCGTGTCTCATCTTCCACATCGGGATCCCCTCACTCAAATCTCCCTCGATCCCCTCGCCCAACCATCGAGCTGCTGTGTCCCGCACCCACAGCCTCGTGCGCCCGAGGCCTCGCCTCTTCCCGATCCCGCCTGAGTTCAGGGAGACGAGCTCCTCCCAAGGCAAGCCCCTCGACCCTGCCGTCTGTCGCGCCGCCGGCAACCAACTCCCCGTAGTAGAGCTCCGCCTCGCCACTGTTTTGCACCCATTCCAGCAGAGAAACGGACGGATCTGTCTTCCCCGCATCCGCCCTCTGCCTCTTCGCCTCACCGAAGTCCAGCACATCGCCGGCAGTGCCACCGCAGGACCTCCTCGACCCTCCTTCTCCTGCCCGAGCTCGTGGAGGCCCGTCTCCTTGTAGCGCCCTTCGCCGCCTAGTTCGTCCGCGCCTTGCCCGCCAGACTCCCTCACCGTCCTCCCGCGGCCGGAGAGCACCACCAGCAGCGCCGCGAGGCCTCTGCTCCCTTCCCTTTCCTTTTCCTTGCTGAACCTCTCCCTCTCCTGTCGCTCAGCTCTCTTTCTCTCCTTTTTTTGTTTTTTTCATGGACAGGGGATCAAGCCGCCACCACTATGGTCTTCCTCCGCCACGGGACACCGGCGCCCCGACCTCCATCCCCGCCCGACGCCCAGTTCCGCTCGCCTCCTCTGCTTCGGCGTCATCCCCGTCGCCGGAGGATGCGGCACCCGGCCGCCTCGAGCCCCGACGCCGACGAGCCATCACCTCCGCCGCCCTTGCCCGTTCCCGACCGGCGTCGCTCTGAAACCCGTCGCTGTCGTTTGTCTTCAAAAACGAGCAGAGCAGTTCCCCCGCGCCTGGAACCGCCCGATCCCGTTGACCGCCCTCTGCTTCGCGTTCCTGGGCCTGCATCATGCGCGTGGCCTCTTCGCCTTGGGCCGCTTCTACTGCACCGCTCCAGGGCCACATCCAGATCCGGCCTCGCCGTCCTGGGCCATGGCCCGCTATGTGAGCAGCCGCCCGAGATCCCCTGTGCACTATCGGGGCAGCTAGTTTCAGCCTGTTCTGTTTTTTTTTTCTGCTGCTGCGATTTTAGCAATTATCCAGAAAACTGCATATTTACAGAACAGTCCTTCATGTTCATGCATTTAATATCTCACAAACCGTGCATCGGTTTAAAATGTTTTAAATAGGTAAAATGTTTAGAATTGCATCTAGTTTCATAATATGATGTTTTCATTCATGTTTAAGATGTTTAAATTAATGTTTGCTTAAATTTACTCAAATGCCATGTTAAAATGATTTATTTCATAAATAAATAACCGTAGCTCCGAACTTAACAAACTTTATATGTAAATGGGGTGTAAAAAAGCTTAGATTAACATGGTGGCATGCTTTGCATGTTTAACAACTCCAAAATATGCTTTAGGGCAGAACAGTACCAAATTTAAAATATGCACATGAGGATTTTTCCGGACTTGTTGCTTGTTGTTCCGGCCTCATTTAAATTTGCCTAGATAGGTAGTTTTCATATGCTCTACCTCTTGCCATGTTTAACAATATTTAATATTGTTGGGTACATAAATGAGATCGAACTAAATAAATTGTTGTGGTGTTTCGTCAATATGCAACTCGTTGCATATTGATCTCCACTTAATTTGTAGAATTGTTTGTGCACTTTGCCATGCCATGTATCTTTAAACCGGACATGCATCATACTTGGTTGTGCATCATGCGATGGTTATGTGATGGTTGTTTACCATGGTGTTTGCTTCTTTCCGGTATTGCTTCTTCGGATTAGTTCCGTTAACGTCGCGTTTGTGAGGATCCGTTCGACCACGTCCGTTTGTCTTCTTCATGGACTCGTTCTTCTTCCTTGCGGGATCTCAGGCAAGATGACCATACCCTCGAAATCACTTCTATCTTTGCTTGCTAGATGCTCGCTCTATTGCTATGTCTATGCTACGATACCCACCACTTGCTTATCATGTCTCCCATATTGCCATGTCAAACCTCTAACTCACCTTGTCCTAGCAAACCGTTGTTTGGCTATGTTATCGCTTTGCTCAGCCCCTCTTATAGCGTTGATAGTTGCAGGTGAAGATGAAGCTTGTTCCATGTTTGGAACATGAATATTTGTTGGGATATCACAATACCTCTTATTTAATTAATGCATCTATATACTTGGTAAAGGATGGAAGGCTCGGCCTTATGCCTAGTGTTTTGTTCCACTCTTGCCGCCCTAGTTTCCGTCATACCGGTGTTATGTTCCTTGATTTTGCGTTCCTTACACGGTTGGGTTATAATGGGAACCCCTTGACAGATCGCTTTAAATAAAACTCCTCCAGCAAGGCCCAACCTTGGTTTTACCATTTGCACTAACAACCTACCACCTTCCCTTGGGTTCTGCAGACTCAAGGGTCATCTTTATTTTAACCCCCCGGGCCAGTGCTTCTCTAAGTGTTGGTCCGAACTGAGCTGCCTGCAGGGCCACCTCGGGGAAACTTGAGGGCTGGTTTTACTCGTAGCTAGTCTCATCCGGTGTTGCCCTGAGAACGAGGTACGTGCGACTCCTATCGGGATTTGTCGGCACATCGGGTGACTTTACTGGTTTAGTTTTACCATTGGCGAGATGTCTTGTAACCGGGATTCCGAGTCTGATCGGATTGTCTTGGGAGAAGGAATATCCTTCGTTGACCGTGAGAGCTTGTGATGGGCTAAGTTGGGACACCCCTACAGGGTTTTGAACTTTCGAAAGCCGTGCCCGTGGTTATGGACAGATGTGAATTTGTTAATGTCCGGTTGTAGAGAACCTGAAGCTTGACTTAATTAAAATACATCAACCGCGTGTGTAACCGTGATGGTCTCTTCCCGGAGTTCAGGGAGTGAACACGGTGTTGGAGTTATGCTTGACGTAGGTTGTTCTAGGATCACTTCTTGATCATGGATTCTCGAACGTGCTTTGCCTTCTCTTCTCGCTCTCATTTGCGTATGTTAGCCACCATACATGCTAGTGCTTGCTGCAGCTCCACCTCATACCCTTTTACCTACCTATAAGCTTAAATAGTCTTGATCGCGAGGGTGTGAGATTGCTGAGTCCCCGTGACTCACAGATTCCTTCCAAAACCAGTTTGCAGGTGCCGATGAAACCGTGCAGGTGACACAACCGAGCTCAAGGAGGAGCTCGATGAAGATCGTGTTCGTTATGTTGTTCCGTTTCCAGTTGGTCAGTAGTGGAGTCCAGTTGGGACGATCGGGGATCTGTGTAGCATTTGGGGTAGTCTTCTTTTATTTTGGGTTCTGTAGTCGGACCTTGATTGTATCTGGTGATGTAATGCTTTATTCATGTAATTGTGTGAAGTGGCGATTGTAAGCCAACTATGTATCTTTTTCCCTTATGTATTACATGGGTTGTGTGAAGATTACCTCACTTGCGACATTGCTTTCAATGCGGTTATGCCTCTAAGTCGTGCTTCGACACGTGGAAGATATAGCCGCATCGAGGGCGTTACAGGAGCACACCGAACAGGGGAAGATAAGCAACAGGCAGATCTAGCACCGCCAGCCTCCAGGGCTGCATGCCGAGGCCATAGTCCACCGAACCCCCGCCGCATGGCCAGGCCACTGGTACCACGCCTACTCCATCTCTCACTGCAAAGCAAATGGAGTCTCACCGGAAGGGCCGCCGCCCAAATCCAGAGAGCCACGCTCACCCGTCTCCGAAGAAACGAGCAGCTCACGTGAAGCCGGCCGGTCCATCCACCGCAGCGAGCACCACTCCAAGGCCCCACCTGGAACGACCTCCTTCAAGCACCCCAGCACCGTGATCTAGATCTGGCCGCTCCAAGCACAAGGAGCGACCCACCGGACGGGGCAGCAGTCAGCAACGACCATGCCTGCTCCCCATGTCGGCTGGCGGCAAGAGGCATGGCCCCAGCCCGCAGGGAGGCCACCTGAACGAGATCCAGCGGCGCCGACCTCCACGCAGCCCCCGTGCCACCGAGCACGAAGCGGGCGAGCAGGGACGAGGCCAACGCGAGGATGGAGGGAGGAGGAGGAGGTGGAAGGAGTCTCGCCGCCGCGGGCCGGTCGGAGGCCGCCGGTGACGGCGGCAAGGGGAGGTAGCAGGGGTGGCGGCGCTTGGGGTAAAAAACCTAATCGCCCCCGAGTCGCCTGCGCGAGACGATGCAGGGGACGTGACTTCATATAAATGACTATTCAAGCTACTCAAAGAGGAATATGTTTGGCAAGAAGTACTTCGTAACAAATACCTACACGCAAAAGACTTTATCCCAGGTGACGGCTAAACCAACAAAGTCGCCCTTTTGCAAGGGTCGGTTGAGGATGAAGGTTGATTTTTTTAGCTGAGGGGATTTCGTAATAGGCAATAGTCAAACTAAACAATTTTGGGAAGATACTTGGATAGAGATGCTCGGGTAGGCCTTAAATACCCAAACCATTATACCATCAAGTAGCGAAATAACAGCGAATCAACCTGTGGTTGAGTTGGTTTGGTGGGCAGTGGTATTCCCAACCCACCAGGGTTCAAATACTAGTGCTCGCATTATTCCTGGATTTATTTTAGGATTTCCGGCGATACGCTTTCAGTGGGAGGAGACGTTCCTGTCGACGACGAGGCGCCTACGGTTATGCGCGTGTATATGAGCGCTTGTGTCTGTACTGATGCTAAAAAAAAAGTAGCGAAATAACATGTTTGTGGCTTTTGTGTTAGAGCCACGTTTGTTGAATATTATGTTTCAACAAGCACTTATTGGGGATAAGTGGATCGTTTGGGTTCATTTGCTCCAAATGTTGACGGCGGATAACCTCCCGCTTGATGAAGACTCTTTCCGGTGGAAGCTCACCAATTTGGGTGCTTTTCTATTAAGTTTGCGTACGTTGGTATTATAAAAATTGGATCGACATTAAAAAACAAATGTTTCTTAAGTTGATGGCCCCATTAAAGATAAAGAATTGTATGTGGTTCTTATACAAAGGTGTATTTTCTAACCAAAGTAAAACAAGTTACATGCTTAAAAAGTGTGTAAACATTCTATTTAAAAAGCATGATTTTTGGAAAGTTCATCGTCTATTTAATAAATGTGCATGACATATTTAAAAATTAACGTGTATTAAATTTTTCTCATATTTTAAAAAATGTTCAATGTGTGTTTTAAAAAATCATTGTGTGTTTGAAAATTGTTCATCAGGTATTAAAAATGTTCAACATATTTTGCAAAAAGCATTCACCGCATATTAGAAAAATGTTCATGTATAAAAATGCCCTAAAAAATATTAAACGAGAATAAAAAAATTCACCGTGTTTAAAAAAGTTCAATGTGCATTTTCAAAAATCTTTGATAAAGAAATGCAAATTTAAATTATTCGCAAAAAATGTGATTAAAAATAAGGGAGAAAAACGTAATAACAAAAACCGGAGTGAAAAACCAAATCGGAAACAGAAAAACAAACAAGAAAACGTTGTACTGGAGGAAAGCCCCCCGACTGGGCCGGCCCGATTTCCATCACTGTCGGCGTGCCACACAGTTCTCAAAAAAAAAAAGCGTGCACGTTGGAGCACGTGAACGGCGCGACAGTATCTGGGCAGGTTTGCGTGTGTGATTTGATCCTGATATGCACCCACCTCTCCAGCTACATGAAATCAATCGTACATGACATCCTGCACTAAAATACCCGGTCGCACCACCACCTCTCCTCGCCTTGCTCGCCTCACCGCCGGCTATATAACAGTCCACCTCTGGCCAAGACCCCCACCCCCAAGCACAGGCACAGCGAACAGGTTGAGATCTTGAGAGAGAAGAGACTGCAGAGATACATACCGAGAGAAAATGTCGCTTACTGGTCAGGTGAAGTGGTTCAACGAATCCAAGGGGTTCGGCTTCATCACCCCCTCGGACGGCAGCAAGGACGTCTTCGTCCACTACTCGGCAATCGCTGGCCCCGGCCTCCGGAACCTCGCCGAGGGCCAGAATGTCGAATTCACCATCGAGAACGGCCCAAAAGGTCCGACCGCCGCCAATGTCAAGGCCATATAGGAGGAGCAATATCGGCTCCTTTTGTAATTTGCTCCACCCGGTCGAGCAAATGGAGTCCAAGGGTATGCTGCTTTCGTAAGGACTGCTGTTTGTTTGTGTTCTATTCTCACCAGTGCACCAAAATCTGTACTGTTTCTTTCTTTTCTCTTTTTACACCAAATCTACACGGGTTAATTACTGTTGCGTTCGGGTTTGCAAGGATTGTGGATTTTGTTTAAGTCAAATATTTAAACTTCGAATAAGTTTGTACAAAGATGTATCAACATTCACAGTACCATACCAAATCAATATCAATAATTTGTCATGAAATCTCTTCTTATTATGTATTTCCGGGATATTGTAAGATGTTATTAATACGGACGCCGATAACTGGCGAACGTTCGGTCTAGGGAGGGACCAGACCGAACGACTCGTTCGTGCTGGAGTAGTGAAGGACCGAACAAACTCGTTCGGTGGAAAAGAACCTCCAGCCCGAACGCCTCACCCCCCCTAACGATCAAACTTGTCGTTACGCAAAACACACGATCCAGTAGAGAAAGTGGGCCTACAGGCCTTTTTCCTGTGAAAAGAAAAACGAAAAATAAAGCCCATATTGAGTTATGACTAGTAAAAAGCTCAGTTTCCTGTGACTAATAAACACTGGTCTTTTGCACGACAAAAATGTCATTGACTATTGGCATTCTATGAAATAAATTGCCATGTTCAAGTTTATGTTTTCAAAAATGGCACAAAAAAAGGAAGAAGTTCATGGCAATCTGCATCGCTACGGTATGAAAAGTTGCCATCACTACGAAATTTACAAAAAAACAAAAAAGTTGCCATGAAGTGATATGATGAAAAAGGTTCTGTGTAGACACATAGAAAAAATTCAGAAAAAATATAAAGAAAACATCTTAAGTTGTAATGATATCGTTCATGTAATCCCCATGGCAAAACAAATTTCAAAGGATCAAAACTTTTTGCCATGGCAAAAACAAATTTGAAAAAACAAACTTGCCGTATTCTCAAACTAATTTGTAAAAATGGCCATGACTAACATTCTACGGATGGACATGGCAAAAAGACACAACGAACCATGGCAAAAAATGCATTTAGTTGCCATGGAAAAATTCGCATCTATAAACAAATACTGATTTTAGTTGCCATGGCAAGTTTGCCATGGGTTTGAACATCTTAGCTTGCCATGTTTTTTAACATCTTTAGTTGTCATAGCAAGTTTGTCATGTTCATGTTTGCCATCTATTTGTACAAACTTAATTAAAACAGAAGTTTGCCTTGTTTTTGCACATCTTAAGTTTGCCATGGCAAGTTTGTAAAATGTATTTGACATCTTAAATTGCCATGTTTTTGAACATCTTTTGTTGCCATGGCAAGTTTGCATGTTTGTGAACATGTTAATTAAAAAAAGTTTGCCATGTTTTTGAACAAACTTAATTAAAAGAAGTTACCATCTTTTTGCACACATTAAAGTTTGCGATGTTTTTGAACATTTTAAAATGCCATGGAAAATTTGCCATATTTTTGAACATCTACAAAGTTTGCCATGTTTTTGAACATCTAAAGTTACCATGGAAAAGTTTGCCATGTTTTTGAACATCTATAACTTTTCCATGGCAAGTTTGCATGTTTTTTGACAAGTTAATTAAAGAAGTTTTCCATGCCATAAATGGAGTCAAATTTGCCATGGCAAAAATGTAGTACTTTTGCCATGGAAATAACTTAAAAATATCATGGCTACACAATTATACATAGTAAAAGTTGCCATGTTCTATAAACGCAAATTTGCCATAATATTTAAATAAAAATTGCCATGCTCTTTACAATAAATTTGCCATGGCAACTTAGAAGAAAATTTGCCACGGCGACTTAATCCAAAATTTGCCATGTGAAAATGAAAGTATTTTTTTCCATGGCAAAAAATCAAGTTAAATTTGCCATGGCAAAAATGGAGTAAAATTTTGCCATGGTAACTTAAAATAAAATTTGCCATGGCAACTTAATCTAAAATTTTCCATGTGAAATACAAGTATTTTTGCCATGGCAACTTAATCTAAAATTTTCCATGTGAAATACAAGTATTTTTGCCATGGCAAATATTGATGTTTGCGAAGCACAAAACATGACAAAATTGCAGTCGGGGTGCATATCAACTTGCCGTCACTGGAAACAAATTTGCCATCATTTTTAGGGGGAGGGGGACATTTTAATCTGTAACTTTCCATGTGCTCCCGAACAAAACCACAAAAATGGCAGCCTGCAACAAAATGTTGCAGCAAAAATGTGCCATGGCAACATCTACCCACATTTGTGCAAATTAGCAGGACACAAATTATAGAGGATTCATCTCCTGCAGCTAATACATACGTTCCAGTCCCCAAAGTACTACACTAAGCAACACCCCATGTTGATTATCTTCTAAAAATCCAACAATCGGCAGGACGACAACTCGTCTCGAGAAAACTCACACTAGTTAGTAGAAGAACTGGAATGGGAGAGGCGTGGGCACGATTCATACCTTAGACACGAGCTGCACAATTTGTAGAAAACGCGGCGAGCGGTCGGCAGCGAGCGCCTCGACCCGGACGTAACCACGCTGCCGCCCGGCCTCTGGCGAGCCGCCGCTCATGGAGACGGTCGCGCGTGGAGGGCCTCGTTCTCCGCTTCCAGGCGCGCGTGGTCGGCGACAAGCGGCTCGACCCGGTCATACACACGCCACCGCCCGGTCTCCGGCGAGCCGCGGCTCATGAAGACGGCCGCGCATGGAGGGCCTCTCGTTCTCCGCTTCCAGGCGCGCGCGATCGGCGGTGAGCGCCTTGACCCGGTCATACCCACGCGGCCGCCCGGCCTCCGGCGAGCCGCCACTCATGAAGACGGCCGCACGGTTCGTCTCCGTGCCCTGGCGTGCTTGGGTGGGATCCAGCCATCTACCGCCATCCGGGGCTCTCCTACCACGCATCTAGCGCGGGCTACTCGCCGGGAGTCGCCGGGATCCGCGGGCCTCACCGTATTAGAGGCAGCCGGGGGAGGATAGGGGAAGAGTGGGGAAAAGGAGTGAGGCAGAGGAGTGGACGGCGTTCGGGAGAGTTCGTTTCATCCCGAACGAGTTTGTGGGCTGACGTGGCGACTTTGTATGCTCCAAAATTCGTGCGACACGATGGACGGCGATGAGGACGTTCGGGCCGGGACGCCCAGAAACCGAACGTTCGGAGGTTATCGATTCCGCAATAATAACTCCTATAAACTCGGTCCACTACTATGGAAACTAGTCTCTTGATACCCCTCATTGCACACGGTTTGGACCAAACTTTATGTGCAACCCAGAGATTCGGTGAACAATTGAATGTGTGGCGATGAAATTTTCCAGTGGTGATTGTATGTTAAATCAAATTGTTTTGAGAAAATGATAGCAAATCCCCATTTACGTTGGACTCTCACGCGGTCACCCTAACATGTGAGTATGCGGTGTACTAGGCAATATTCTTTCCGAAATGATAAGTACCTGATGCCATGTACGAGCAAATGGCAAATTGAACGTTTTTTATGGCAATTCTAATGACGCAAGAATGACAAGTTAGTTAACACACACGACAATTTTCTGTCAAAAAAGAGACTAAAGCATGAAATGGCCGTGCTTGCCAACTCCTCATAAAACTAAACTCGCCATAAAAAACGTTCAATTTGCCATGTGCTCATACTTGAGGTCCGGGCGTTATTAGATTCCTATTATTTTGTGTATCATGTGGCTATTAAGCCTATTATCACAAATGGGTAAAAAATTCTAGCATTTGAAATACTTCTTGATATATTTAGTTGTTCTATTTAAGCGTGGCATGTAAAATCTAAAAAACCTATACCTATGCAATTGTCGCCCTCACCCTGTCTCTCCCCCAAATCTCCCTCTTCCCCCTCCGCTGAAATCCCCGTCAGGGATTCCTCAGGTGCCAAAACCACGCATCTCTCCCCCATGCCGCTCCCTCCCCGGGGCGACACGGGCGGTGCCCCCGTCCCCGCAGCCTCTTCCCTCCCTCCGCCTTCTATCCCTCGCCGTCGCCGGCGGCCTCCGGCAGGCAAAGCCTACGAGGAGCCGGCGGCGGCGGGGCGCTCTCTGGCTGCCGCTTGCGCGTGAGATGGGGATATCGCGTGCGGACGGCGGCTAACCGGCCCTTGGCTCTGGGGTGGTGTCCTGGCTCATGGCGAAGATGGTCTCCGGCGCTCGGCGCGGGATCCGGTCGCGGCGGTCGGTGCGCCGCTGCGGGCGAGTGGTCGTGGTCGTGGCGCCCATGAGGGCCCGATCTGGATCCTCGCATGCTACGGCCAGCGCGGTCGGTGGTGCTGGGGTGGAGGGAGGCTCGGCCCCCTGTTGTGCGTCCAGGAAGAGCCCTTGCTGCGTTCCTCTGGCCTGGTGCCGTGGTGGTGCCGGCTGGTGTTTCGGCTGGCGGGTTGCGGATCTGGCAGCCTGTCCGGCGAGTTGAGGTGGGGTGGCGGCCCTCCCTCCCTGCTCGGGCTTCTTCTCTGTTGTGCAGCATGCGGCGGCCGCGCGGTGGAGGTCTGCGGTCTGGATCCTAGGGCGGCAGCCCTAGGGCGATGATGGGTGACGACGGCTGCGGTGTTCGTTAGGGTGAAGCAGTGGCCGTGGTGTGCCGGTGGATCAGCCGATCTTTAGTCATATGGTGCGGCTGTTGGTGAAAACCATGCTTGTCTATGGACGGGGCGACGATGGCGGCGTCCACGGGCGCCATGACCCCATTGAGGGCGTCCTCGCTGCAGCTTGTCTCCCTGACTGAGTTCCGGTTGTGGGGACTCGTGGCTAATGGTGTTGCCGGGGCGGCGGCCCCGGGTTTTGGTGGTGGCAGCTTCGGTCAGGGGGCGGTGCGTGCCTGGGCGTGGCGGATCGAGGGATCCCGCGGCCAGATTGGAGTCGGCTTCGGCAGGGGTGTGGTGATTGGTGGGCGGCGGTCGGTGGCAGTAGGTGGTCGGCGCACCTCTGAGAGAAATCCTTG